TCATTTAAAAAAAAATTTTTTTTTCAAACATATTTTTTGGATCTCTTGAACAAACAAACAAACTCTTCAGCTTTATATTAGTATAGATCTGTAGACAGACTCTACGTATGTATGTTTGAAAGCGCGTAGGTTAATCTAAGGAAGTAATGGTTCAAATTGAAAAATCTTATTAGTTAGACCATTTATTGAGGAAGGCACTAAGCTACAAAACATCAAGCTGCAACGAATAGTAACAAAGTAACAGAGGGAAGTGTGGAAAACACGAGGAAAATTATTTATCTTTGAGGGTGTCGGTTGCGTTCGCTGCGAAAACAGTTCAAGAAGCAATGTCAATCTATTTTGACATTCTATATTCGAAAAAATTCATAGTAACCGAAAATATAAAACCTTACCACTTTTCATCTGTGGACGGTGGTTCGTGACCCGGACGGTATCTCGATATTCCTACCATCCATTTAATATCCAGATTTCAACATGTTTCAGAAAAATTATAAATTTAAATAAAACACTTTAACGGTTTAAAACGCGATATATTAGTTACACTTATTTGAAAATTATTTTTAATTTTAGCCCGACGTTTCGGATGCTTTAGCCGTGGTCACGGGGAGACCCGTGTATAATAACTTTAACTAATATATCCCGTTTTGAACCGTTAAAGTGTTTATAAATGTGTACTACTCGCGTAAACAATAGACAGTATAAAAATTATAAATTGATTAGAAACATGACAAGGTGCTGATCGAATCCACGTTCGAGCTCGTAAATGTTTTAAGTTATGGTTGTTCCTTTATACGATAATCGTATAATTTACCTTACCAAACGTGTATAATAAAAAGTGTACTTATATTTAACAATTAGTGTCCTACATCTATAAACTATTTTAAACTTCGTCCATATGAACGCAGCATTACAGCATATTGTGAGCATTGTTTAATATTCTGTATCATGCCAGCGGCTTTCCTACATTGCAATTTTAAAGTCACTCAAATAGCTCAAAATTGCTCAACAATAAATCATCAATTCCCCAGAACTTGGAGTAATAATGTATACTAATATTATAAAGCTGGGATGGTTGTTTGCAAGAAAAAACATTATAGTGCCAAAATAATTATTCCACGCGGACGACATTGCGGGCACAGCTAGTGTGATAGATAAAACTTCTAGACTATATATAATTGTGTAACGTTTGCGGAATTCTTAAGTAAACTTACAGATATAAGCTTTATGTGTGAAATCCCTCCGTGGGGTATGGGGCCAACAAATTCATGTGTCCGTTTCACTGATCGTTATTTATACCGGCAAGTAAATCAGACTTCTATACCTTATCCGTCGGAAACAATCAATTTTGTCCCCGTCCCTTAACGCAATGGCAACACGTATAACCATTTAGCTACAGAGGCGGTAAGATATTTATAGCACTACATTTTTCATTTCGTTTGAAGTTAGAAAACTAGAAGTCTAGATTTACCGCCCACTAACAGAACTAGATCTTGATATATGCCAAGTTAAAAATATACCCAGTCTAAAAATAGAGTCGTAATTTGCAAAGTCTCAAATGTCTCTCAACCCTGCAACTAAAACGTGGGTGAAATTCAAGCCACGATAAATTAAAACTTGAACTATCCCTATTAGTGTCATTATTAATATATACCTTGTTATATAAACTGTTAGTCGAAAAGATGCGACGGCTTTTTCACGACTTCGTTGGTATTATACCAAATTGGTTGGTAGCATTGTGTCATCAACAAACGGGTCGTGGATTCTAATCAATTTATATTTTTCTTATAAAATTTTTCTAAAACTTATTAGACTTTTAAATAAAACACTTTAACGGATATGTTTTGGTTAAACTTATTTGAAATTATTTTAAACTACGGCCCGACGTTTCGTATGCTTTGCAGCAGCCGTAGTCACGTGGAGCCTAAAGGTGGATGGTGTCTCTGACGTCAAAGTAAAAACTGCTGCTGGCGAGCCTCTGTTCCGTCGAAGTATTTGGCCAAACTTTTGTCTTTCCTTCGCCGGTCAAATAAAAAGTGACCATAATGTCAAATAAGTTTAACTAATATATATCGTGTTTTGAACCGTTAAAGTGTTTTATTTAAATACTCCTTCGCGTAAACTACAGACAGTATTTGTATTGGACGTTGTCCTGAAAATTTGAATATAAAATGGGTGGTAAGAATTACGCAATTCCATCCACATTTACAGATGAAAAAACGTGAAGTTGCAGCCGTGGATTTCCGAATATCCAAAGCGACAATAGGGCGACATCGCATCTTATTTAGATGTTATAAAGCTGGGGAATTTTACCTACCAAGTGAACCCCTAGCTTGTCTGTACAAAGTACTTCCCTATGCATTCCAATGACGACCTTTACATACAATTATTATGTGAAAGGTTGTATGTAAAATACAAGAGTTACATGTTCCCTCTATATTATACGTTTAGGTACGTATTGCGTACCAACCTACATATATGAACATATAGTATTATGTTAAAGAAAGTTAAATACACTAGTATCGAGGTAAATCTAATTGTGATGGGAGTAAAATTGTTATATGATGGTGGGGGTTTTAGACTGCCTACTATCTGATCCTCAATGTTTATAACTATTGAAATATCTGTAGTTTACGCGATTAGTACACATTTAAATAAAACATTTTTAACGGTTTTAAACGCGAAATGTTAACATATTAACAATTACTTTAACTACGGTCCGATAATTCGTATGCTCTGCAGCAGCCGTGGTCTTGGGGAGAAAATTAACATTCGTTTTAAACCGTTAATAGTTTTATAAAAAAAAAAATTGTTTCTAATGTCTCTGTCGTCATGTTGATGACATTATTGAAATGACATTCATGAGGTGCCCAAAATAAATATTCTGCGCGGACAGACAGAGTCACTAACACAGCCAGTTAATTTATAAAAAGTTGCTATTGTATGTAGCGTACTGTCCACTGTCCATTCTAGTGGGTTTGATCTCAATGCAAACAAAACCGGATCTCACCAAGGACGCACTTCACTTTCACGAGATATTACGCAAATGGATTAGTTTATATAACTTCAAACAATACGTGTGAATCTTCTGCTGGCTCATTGACATTGGGAAGGACACGCAACAGGTATTTTAATGTCACTAAGCAGCAAACAATAAAAAAAAACATTTAAAACCGTTTTAAACTCAACTACGACCGGACGTTGGCTTTACAGCAGTCAGGGCGACGGCTGTCAGGGGAAAAACTTTAGAGCTATTTACTGCTTTTCAATTCTTACTACTTAAAACGCGACATATATTAGTCAACTTAATATAAACCACAGCCCGACCGTGACCCTAGTAGCAGCGGCTTTTGCAAAACCTCCGAAACGTCGGGCCGAAGTAAAGTGGAATATTTCAGGTTATAAACCGTTAAAATGTTATTTAATGTTGTTTGCTTAGAAAGGAACGTTTCTATAAGTGTGTCCAATGCTTTATCACGCTATAATACTATTTTTATTTCTTTAATTATCAATATGTCTTGTAATTACGATTTAATGGAGAAAATTCCATTATTAATTTTACGATAATATTAGAGCGTACGATAACTCGAAAGATATTACTTCCTTCACTTTCTCCAATAGCAGATAAGTAAAGAAATAATATATCTGAAGCCAGTTAACGGGTACAGGTTAGGTATAGGATGTGACCAATTTGTATTACCATAAATATCGACTAGCCTACAATTTACGGAAGCAAAAATAAATGTTTCGTAACCGTTCTCGGCTTTTCCTGCGTTTATGTAGGTGTAGACGTAGAGTATAATAATCGTTTAAAACTGGATTACTACACACTTGGTACAAGATTACAATATAGGTAGTCAAAATTAATGTTAATATGCAAAGCCAAGAAAGGTCGATAGCGCATTTTGTTTAGATGTAATATGCCTGGGATAAGTTCTGCAGTTTATCCAAATTAAACAAAACAGTTTGAAAGGCGAAATATATTACAATTTATGCCCCCGTGACCGTGGCTGTTGCATATTCCCAATGTCGGAGTGTACTTAAAATAAATTATAAATAAGATAACGCGTTTTACCTTAAAAGTGTTTTATTTAGTTGGCTAGGGTACTTCATCTAATCCACCTAGTCTAGTATTTGACAGAATACACTTATAAACGTATTAAAGAATTTAATAAAGTGCCTGTGGACTGATTAAAAGTCTGAACTTTGAAGACAAACATTTTAAGATATTTCTCTATTCTTTATATAATATTTCGATTCAAACGTAGTTATAATTAAACAAATTTTTCAATATATATATATATATACAATATCCATTGTATTACATACTAGCTGTTGCAACGACTTTGTCCGCTAAGACTATTTATTTTGGGCATCCAAATTCGTTAATCTTAAAAAATATACTTAAAGCGTCGCGGACTTTTTTTTATATGATTTATAGAGGAATCATTCTCTCGTACAATTTTTTTGGGTATCTTGAACCTTTTTTGAAGCGTACGCTTCGGAAACCCATAATGATGAATAATTTTTTATATATTTTTTTTCATTTCCCGCTGCATCTTCGCTTGTATTAGTCACAATGCGAATTTTTTTTAATTCGAACCCGTAGTTCTTGAGATTGGCGCGTTCAAACAAACAAACAAATAACACTTCAGCTTTATATATTAGTATAGATTATACAATACCATATTAGATTTATCATTATGTATCTATGTGCTATGTAACATAGTGTACGGAATTATATAAGATGCCCCCACCAGTCAAAGAGAGCATATCAAATCTCAACTTCCGACTTATCTGCCTAACGAGCCGTATCTGATCCACTTACAGCAATTACAATGACATATAATAAGCTTTACATTACGAGAAGAAGACGATCGAGTTTGTGACTTCGTAAAATAGCTATTTTGGGCATCCCAATTCGTGTTTTGCAAAACCTACCCACATAAGAAGAAGATGTCTGTCCTTTCATATATTATACGAAATTGTTCCTTTGTTTACAGGAGGAAAACATAGCACTCCGTCTAATAAAACAACATGCAGATGTTGAGGAACCAGAAAGCAGCCCGATTTCCCTCGAAGAATATGGCACTGGGAGTACGGGGAAGTACTTCGACGAGGCTGGTTACGTCACTGGCGGTGCCAAGGATAATGACCCCTACGTCAGAAACAGATTTAATCAGGTTGCTTCTGATGCGTTGCCTAGCAACCGGGGCGTGCCAGACACTAGGAATGCCATGTAAGTACTGCCATGTACTTTTAAATTTTTTTTTCATCAAACAGACATAAACGGTTGTTTAAACATGTTTATTAGTATTGGAAAACTTGAATATTTTTCACATTATGGCAGTATATGAATTAAAAATTGATTATTCATTTAAAAAATTACGACTTGGTAAGGACTTGACCTTTAGAGCAATTTTGAAAATTTGAATAGATTTTCAAAATTGCTCTAAAGACTAGATAAAACACTTTAACCGTTGAAAACGCCATATATTTTAGTCAAACGGATTTGATAATGATTTTTAACTACGGCCCGACGTTTCGAATCCTTTGTAGCAGCCGTCAAGGGGAGTCACTTAAATAATATTTATTGCGTATTAACCCGTTAAAGTGTTTTATTTAAATGTGTATTACTCGCGTAAACTACAGACGGTATTTATTTTGAATAGAGATTTTAAATGTACAAAATAATAAAGACTTTTAAAGATCCACATATCCACTAACGGATTGTTACTTCGCAACTCATGTTACAGGTGCCGACTTAAGAAATACGATGACGACCTACCGCAAACAAGTGTGATCATAACCTTCCACAACGAAGCGCGATCGACACTCCTGCGCACCATTGTCAGGTATTACTCACACAAGTATTATTCATCTGATCTGACGGGCTCGTAATGTACGACGAATAATCAACGGGTTCGAACCCCACCGGGTCAAACATTTCTAATCAATATATTTTTTCTGAATCTATGTCTGGAAATCTGGATATTAATTGGGTGGTAGGCGCATCGAAATTCCGTCCGGGTCATGCGTGCATGAGAGCATAACCTGAATCTGTATACTTAGGCATTTTTTTTTTCAGTGTCCTCAATCGAAGTCCAGAATACCTCATCAAAGAAATAATTCTAGTTGATGACTTTAGTGACAATCGTAAGTAATTTTAGCTACCGTGTTTTAATATAAAATCATTAATTTCTACGTCTCCGGTTGATCGCAGTCTGATGAAAAGCCTTAACGTCTTCCTTGATAAATATTCCAACGAACACAAAAAAAAAATTCAATTCGAACCAGTAGATCTTGATATTAGTGCATTCAAACAAACAATCTCTTCAATTTAAAATTAGTATACATATTTTTCTATCGTTTTATGTGTAAAATCCCATATCACCCGTATGGTGCTTGGGGCAGACACATATCTCTGACTATTTTATGCTTAATTTGTATTAAAGAACCCGATCGAGAGCAAACGTAACACTTTTCTTTATTACCCGCTATTCCACATAACGATGTGTTTAAAAAACAATTTTGTTTCACTTTTGTGTTCACGCCACATAATATACGCGGCGTTAACGCTCAATTAAACAAGTTAATTTGCATTTTATTATCTGTTACGGTGTCTGCTTATACTACTTATATGTACACAATTTTATCTTAGCATTTTTTTAATGTCTATAAGTTCAAATAATTGAGATGAAACACTTTAACGGTTTGAAACGCGATATATATTAGCTAATCTTATTTGAAAATTATTTTAACTACAGCCCGATTTTCGGATGTTTTGCAGCAGCCATGGTCATAGCCCGTTTTAAACCGTTAAAGTGTTTTATTTAAATGTGTACTACTAAACTACAGATTGTATAGAATTCAAATAATCTCAAATATTTTCGTTTTTAAACCTATTTATTAAAACGTTTCTACCCTCAAATATTTTAGTTTAAGTACCCATTAATTAAGCGTGTACAATTTTGTCTCATTAGTTACTTCCGTTAGCAAGTTCGATCCCCAGTTGAACACCAAAAGATATTTAACTCTGCACATTTTACTATATGTTATCTGACTCAGGTTAAAAACGAAAATCTACTGAGACGATTTTTGCTGTATTAAATTATATATACGAAATAAAACATGTTTGTGTAAAGGCGGCCTTATCGCCTATGTCGATTTCTTCCAGGCAACTTTTGCCTGGAAGAAATCGCCATAGCATATAGCATATAGGCAAGATAATTTTAGTAAACAAGTCGAATGTCAACATGAAAAATATAGTTACATGAATTTACTGTTTTTTTTTTATTTAATCATCAATATAAGTTTCCTACTACAGATAAATATTGAATACATAAATAAAATAGTTTTAAGAGTTTCAAACGCAAAATATATCAATTACTTTTTTTAACCACGACCCGACGATAAACATTGCATTGCCATTTGGTATAATGGTAGCAATGTACAGTCAATATGGCGGTCCGATGGCTGGACTTTGTTTGGATATCTGGATATTAAATTGGTGGTAGGAATGCCAAAACTCCGTCCACAGATGAAAAAGCCGTGAAGTTTAATCACGTTTCGATTGCAGTCTGTGGATTTCCGAATATCAAAAGCCAAAATAGGTCAGCGTATCTCGGTTAGATGCTAGTTTTGTGAAAGAGCAAATTATGTATAATACTTTGCAGTAATGTACAAAAACTAAATGTTAAATGTAATCCCACGAGAAAATCTATTTTCGCTAATATCTATTACAACAATTGAATGTTAGAACCGAACAACAATGCAATGAAATACATTACAAATAATATTCTCAACATTGTGCTTTACAATGGTTTTAAGCAATAAGTAACAATTACAGTAGCTCAGTTAATTAGATTCTTACTCACTAAGTACATGTGTTCTTAGGTTTAGATTTTACTAGCTGACCTGGCAAACGTTTAACCCATGTACTTAGCTGTGTCAGCGATTTCGTCCGCGTATAATTGTTATTTTGGGTGTCCAAATCTTGTTTTTGCGAACCCCCTTCACCTTTATAAACTAAAACTGTTACGGCGCGTCCCTTGCCGACGTTCTTGCAAGTTAATCTTAAACGATAGATCTAAACTATGGCGGACATTTTTTAGATTATTCATAGAATAATTCTTTCATACATATTTGGGTGTCACGCTCCTACCAAGACAAAAATAATTTTGTAATTTGAACTAGTAGTTCCTGAGATTAGTGCATTTAAACAATCAAACTCTTAAATACTGTCTATAGTTTACGCGAGTAGTACACATTTAAATAAAACACTTTAACGGTTTAAAACCGCGATATATTAGCTGCAAAGCATTCGAAACGTCGGGCTGAAGTTAAAAGTCATTTCCAAATAAGTTTAACTTAAGTTTATCGCGTTTTAAACCGTTAAAGTGTTTTATTTAAATCAAACTCTTTATCATTATAATTTTAGTATAAATTCAATACAGATCACTAGCTTTAACATACTTCTGGATATTTAGATCCTACATTTGGAACAAAACACTGCTTGATTCTATCTTGATTGTAGTTGATACTACTCAACAGAAAGTTACCAAATATAATTCGAGTTTCAAGTCGTTAAATATTGTCTGTAGTCATTGTCCGAAACATCGGGCCGTAGTTAAAATATTTTTCAAATATGTTTAACTGATATATACCGCATTTTAAACCGTTGAAGTGATTTATTTAAATTGTTAAAAAAATATTTTGTACTTTTACCTTAAACAGATACCTATTATCAATAAAAAAATCCTTTTAAACTTCATCTAGAAGAGAAATTGTTTATGATCTTGGTCTTCTCGTGGGTCTAGTCATGACTCCCAATTAGAACGAAGAAATAGGTTCAATTAAATTTCAATCAGATCTCATTAAAAGGTCTATGATCTTAACTTTAGTAATGCAAATTAAACCAGTGGCTTTGCGGTTGTTTCATATAAGGTTGATTAAAAATTATTATGGTTACACTATTAGTTTTCCTGTCTTCTATTATTCATTTATATTGTTCATTGTATATTAATCGATATGAAACAGAGTCGTCTTACTGCTAGCCGTATACCGAATAATCTTTGAAGCCGAATAACTGATCATCGGGGAACCGAATGTACGGTCGATAATAGTAAAGTGGTGGCTTGTTACTTTATTATCCTTCATTCGTTAAATTACATACAGCATTTAACCAATTCATTTTGAATACTGTCTGTAGTTTACGCGAGTAGTATATATTTAAATAGAATAAAGCATTGGTAACGTCGGGCCGTAGTTGAAATGATTTTCAAACTAGCTTAACTAATATATATCGCTTTTTAAACTTAGTGCAGTTGAATTTCTGTGTTCAAACAAAATTTCAGGGGTCACTGAAAATCAATGTTGCAAGAAAAGCGTGTGTTTTAGGACTTGCCATTAAAGTAAGCTTATATATTATATAATTTCCTAATATTGTTTTTAAGTTAACATTTTTTATTTTAATAAACAATTATAATTATTACTTTAAGTGTTTGTAACCGGCCGGATACTTGTTGGTTATTCCAAATTCAGATTTTAAATTTCATCTCTAATATGAACATGTATTTTTAGCTGAAGATGGCGCCGCTCTTCGAGCAATCCGAAAGGTCCAGGTCATCCGGAATTCAAAACGCGAAGGTCTCATGAGGTCTCGCGTTCGAGGCGCGGACGCGGCTACGGCGCCGGTTCTCACATTTTTAGACTCACATGTGGAGTGTAATGTCCATTGGTTGGAACCGCTGCTACAAAGGGTTAAAGAGGTGAGTTTTTAACAAAAAAAGACGTCACGTCATTTGATAGAAGAGATTTGTATCCCATCTAATTGAGATGTGCTGTCGTCCAATTTTGGATTTATGGTATCTGATTTTTTATCTGTGATGGTGGAGACTCTGATAGAAATGCGATGTTTCTAGCTTGTGAGGGTTTGACGGAGTCGTTGATGCAATGGTAGCAAAGCTTATAATCAACGGGTGGGTTCGAACTCCATCGAGTCCAACATTTTTCTAATCAATACATTTTTTTTCTGAAACAAGTTGGACTTCGATATTAATGATGTATAAATATCGAAGATGATGAAGACAGATGAAGAAGGAGTGAAGTTTAATAGCGTTTCAGTCTATGGATTGCCGAATGTCCAACGCCCAAATAGGCCGACAGCACATCTTACTTAGATGTATGGCTAGAGTATATCACCTTCCATAAAGTATAACTCATGCTTGTCTATCTATCAAACAACATTAACACGATACAGAAACTGCAGTTCACCGCACCCTCGACCTTCATAAGTAATTACTTGTATATACAATAACTTCCTGTAACATAAATGTGTCACTAAGTACAGGCTATCATAGTTTATTATAATTTATATTATGCAGTTGTATTGGGAAAAGATAGCGAGTTTACGATTCATCTTATAGCGTTTATATATTAAAATGATAGGTCCTTCTTCACTATACTCAATATTAAAAACAAATGAACATCGTCTGTAGTTTACGCGAGTAGTACAAATTTTAAATAAAACACTTTAATTGTTTAAAACGCGATATATATTAGTTAAACTTATTTGAAAATTATTTTTAACTGTGGCCCGATGTTACCCCCATGACCACGGCTGCTGCAAAGCATCCGAAACGTTGGGCTGTAGTTAAAAATAATTTTCAAATAAGTCTAACTAATATATATCGCGTTTTAAACCGTTAAATGATCGTTAACGTTATATTTAACCGACTACAGCAAAGCATAAAGGGTAATGATTTTGTCAGTCTATAATTGTGGCATATTTATTAGTTTGACCACTTCTGTAGCTTAATGATATTGGATTCAAATCTTGAAGAAACTGTAATAGTTTTCATTAGACCAACTAATTAACAGTAAAGTTGTATAGATTGGACATTCCCTCATTCATATCGCATCTTAATATTGGCCTAAAATTTATGCCGCTTCTATGTCTAAAGACTATATTTCCTTCCTATACGCACAAACATCTACTCAAACTCTTCTTTTACCACTGCTGGACTATCGACGTATGCTCCCCGGATTTGAATGAGGAACTGTTGGATAAACTGAAGTTTACAAAACTTCTTATCAGATTCGTATTTGGTTTGAGAAAATTCGATCATGTATCCGCGTTCCGTAAAAAGCTAGGATGGTTGCCCATTCGTTTTCGGCGAGATGCGCATATCCTTAATCTTCTTTATTCTATCCTTTTTTGCCCCAAATCTCCTTCCTATCTAAAATCTAAGTTTAAATTCATGGGTCCGTCGGTATACATTGCATATCTGACCGGCTTATACTTGAAGTTCCTTCCAACTCCAATTCTAGGCAAATCCTTTCAAATTACTGCGGTCAGGTTATGGAATACCTTACCCGTCTCCATACGTATGGCGTCTTCCCTCCTATCCTTTAAAAAGCTCCTCTACAAGCACTTTATGTCACTTAATTACCCATCTTAATAAATTGTCACTATCTTTTAATATTTTTACGCAATCCTTATTTTAGTTTAGTTTCCCTAGATAAGTTTTGAAATTGTATGTAAGTTTTATTTTGATAAGTTTAAGATTATATTTAACATTGTACATTTTGTTTCGCCCACCTTGCACATCTCGTTTTCCCGTAAACTTTTTTCTCTTTCATCTTGGGTTGCCTGGAAGAGATCGCTGTACAAAGGGCCCATTGCACTCCATATGTTTAGTATATAAGTTTATATTTTTGTTAATTTTTTTTTTGTGCAATAAAGTGTAAATAATAATAAAAATAAATAAATAAAATTGATCAGTAAATAAGACAGAGATTCAATCCCCATGTCTCACAAGAAAAACACGATGACATTTTGTTATTTTGATGGTAATAATTTAGTAGCTTCTAGAAATAGATTGTATGTCATCAACGGCAGGTATGCAATAAATGGTGAAGGTGTTAGTCCTTGACATTAAAAAACACATCACGTATCGTCTTCGGCGCATACTTTACCCATTTTAATGGTCCGATTAAAAAATAGAATGTTCTCTAATGTGTTCGCATCTGTTATTATGATAGAAAAATAATGCTTTCATAGTTCATAACACGAAGAAAAGTCGGTGGTAACTAGCGCCGCGGTGTCAAAATTGTGAATCTATCGATGAACGACATTTCGAAAGTTTTTAATTGTTTTTTAACAACACAAAAGAATAATTAGTAAATATAAATAAGATTTACATTTAAAGAAAACACTTTAACGGTTTAAAAAGCGAAATATATTAGTTAAATCCCAAGTGACCATGGCGGCTGGAAACCATTGGAAGATAAAATGAATTGCTATAAGTTAAATCTATATTTCCCGTTTTAATCCGTTACAAATGTTTTAATTAGATTTGTAATACATTCGTAAACTTTATTATGTATATTATTGCGTACTTATTTAATTCCTCCCGTGACCGCGACTGCCGTAATAACATCCAAAACGCCGAACCATTGTTTAAAATAAAATAAAAATCTGTGCCCTGATATTTTTTTGATTCTAACCCGTTAAAGTTTGATTTATATGAAGCTGTCATGCGCAATTCAAATTCTACCATAGAAATGATATTTCTTAATGTAGTTCGAAGGGAACGTGGGAATTTACGCCTAACTACAACAATCATTAAGAAATCTACGTCTAAAAATGTCTGCTGATTGTTACGTCTAGTTACAATATTTCCACATGCATTTAGTAACAGTGAAATCTATTTGAAATAAATTTAACATTTTACAGTCGAAAGAGATTGTATTAGAATGTACGTGCATTCAAGACGACTTATGAATAACGCAACAGTTACAAATCCACTAAAGTAATAAATGTTTGCGAATAAAAATTAATGTAGAACATATCTTTCGTGTTTAGGATTTCGTACTTAAAGGTTAAGAACCCTACCCTTATATTACGTCTTCTGTCGCCCATCTATATCTTAAGAACAGTCGATAGAGAGTTCAAATTATCACAGGTTGTGTAAACGCGTGCTAAAACATAAAAGGGACATACTCAAAATGTAATTTTTATACGTTTTTGCTCTATGTCTATACTAATATTATAACAATAAAGAGTTTGTTTATTTTAATACGCTAATATGAACAACAACAAAATATTTTCAAGAGGAACGCTTTAGGCTACCAAACATAACAATGCGATCAATAGATGAGAAATGTGATAAAACGGGGGAAAATGCATGGGAAACAGTTTTAAATACCCGAAAAATATGTATTAAAGAATGATTCCTCTTTGAACGATCTAAAAAAATGTCCGCGTCAGTATATATCAATATATATCTTTTACGATTAACCCACATGACAACGAGACGCAGAAGGCATCGCGACTATAATTTTATTAGGATGAGGAGTTTTGCAAAAATAAATGTTGATGGCCAAAAGTACTATACTTCAAGACACAGCTAGTTAATGATAATTGCAACTAGCTATAAATGCTACGGAACCCTTGGTGCTTTAATCTGACTCGCTCTCGGTCGGATTATCAAATCGTAACAAGTGTTAACGTAATTTAAAATCGAAGACCGTATGACATTCAAAATATTTTAATTAACTTTAAATGTTTCATGTTTGAAATGTTACTAGATTCTTTAAGTTGCGTAATTTTAGAATTGATAATTTTAAATGTTTTGAAATTTGTATTTATCTATGTTTTAATATGATGTTATGAATAAGCCATCAAAAATATGAAATATTATCATTGGCATTGAGGGAAAAATATAATAACTCGTAAAACGTTCTCATTTATTCCATTAATGAGGCAAAAAATGTCATTCCATTAATCAGGATGTAACCGATATGAGTGAAGAAATTCTTTCTTTCTTTTTAGAAAAAAGGGGTGCGATGCGAAAACGGCCCATGATATCCAAAAATATGTATAAAAGAAGAATTCAACTGTAAATAATATAAAAATATTGGTGGCTGTATATTTCTGTTTTAAGATTAATTCCGTAAGCAGGAACCGTTTTTATAGTAGTCAAATTTGTTCGAAACTAATACACATTACCAACAATTTGTTAGATAATATCAAACAATACGACGTTTTCCCGATCACCTAACTTGTAGCAAACAGAACTGTTACTTAGTCGCGTCCTAAAACTAACTAAAGATTTTACAATTAACAAATAGATACGACAAAAAATATGGATCCGCAATTCCAATTCTTTATAATTAAATAGAATAAAAAATGTATAACAAGACGAAACATCTCGATGCGATATTGCAAAAGCGATTTACTTTGAAAGTATGTTGCTTCACGTACAGACACCGCACTTTTAATTGAGGTCTAAAGTAAAGGCGATGAGCGGAAATAATAAAAAATATTTAAATATATATCTGTATCTCTCTAATCTGTATTTGTGCCTGTATAAACAGTCTGTATGTTCATCTCAATTGAAAGAATTTAATTACAGACAGGCAAACGAGACAGATTTTATGTACTGAAAGTACATGAAAAACTGTGTCCTAAACTTAGGTACGTCTACAATGGCACGGGAGAAATGGGTCCTCAAAAATGTTTTCATTTGTAAACCCACTGACGGTCTCGTTGGTGTAATGGTAACAGTATGGCTAGTAATCATCGGGCAGCGGCTTAAATCCATACCAGGTCCAACATGTTTCAAGTCAATTTATAATTTTTCTGAGACAAAATCTGTATATTGGATGCGTGGTAGCATGTTTAATTCCGCCCGGTTTATGATCTACCGACCACAGATGAAAAACCCGTACATTTTAATCGGTTTGAGTCTGTGGCTTTCCGAATAACAAAAGCCTAATTAGGCCGACAGCACATCTTCTTTAGATGTTATACGGTCGGGGTATTTTACCTACCTTTGCTTGTCTGTCCTCCTCTATCATAACATTTCTGGCCGTTTCAACCACTTCTACCTTCTTACTTAATTTGGAAACTCCTTTATAAAACATCTGTCAGCTCCTCGCTTGTACCACACCGAGCAGTTACTCAAGCGTGGTGAGCGGAAGATGCAAGCTCTTGCGCAAGTCAGATCATCTGTGTTATCCCTTCACCCCTGGTTGCGAAATGTCTCATTGTTTTGACCGGAATCGGTGTGGATAAAGACTTCTTTCTCTGGCCTAATAAGCGTCGTTAATGATGTATAAATATCACACGTTACCGTTCATTATTCAACAGTTTTAAACGTGAAATATATTAGTAGTAATTTAACAACGTACAGCACACGAAACTTCAAGTAAAGAAGAATGTATTCTGTTAGTTGATTCGACTTTTGGCTGTGTTATCCATTAAATACTGTCTGTAGTTTACGCGAGTAGTACACATTGAAATAACACATTCTAACGGTTTAAAACGCGATATATATTCTATCTAAATATCGCGTATATAATGTAAAAAGCATCTTAATGGCATAATATGAAATTAACACTAAGTGTCCATTTACAAGAACTTTTATATTTATTAAACCTCAACTTTCAGGGTCACTCCAATCTTTTAAAGATCACAAGGTGATCGAAGTGCGAAGGCAGCTATGAATAAATTATGTTAACACCTTACTAGAAAAACAAATGAATACCATTTCAAATTGAATATACCATGTTTAATAAAACATATAATGTCATCAACGTTTAAGTAATGTAGAATAGCAATAACTTCAAACTACAGTATAAAGGAATGTGTAACTCCTGACACTTAAATCAAATCATTAAAATATTTGCAATTTATTACAATGACATAAAAGATTACATACTAGATACTGTCTATAGTTTACGCGAGTAGTGCACATTTAAATAAAACACTTTAACGGTTTAAAACGCGATATATTAGTTAAACTAATAATAAAAAACTTACAATAATTTACAACTTACTTATTTCCTTACAATTCATATAAGTACAACATATGAAACAATTTTTTTTACTTGATGGTAGGTAAAATATCCCCGCCATATAACATATAAACTATATGCGCCGTCGTTTTCCGGCTTTGGATATTCGGAAATATGTATGTACATCGCGTTTTAAACCGTTAAAGTGTTTTATTTAAATTATACCCACCCAAATTACGTAATCAAAACTTACGCCATTTTTAATCAAACCCACAAATTAACCTCGCATCTGTAACCCAATCTTCTAATTTCAAGTCACCTTTCGCATTAAATTGTAGAACCAGCGTTCCAATTTAGACCTTTGCACCTTGTAATAGAAGCAAAAATCGATTGTAAAACAGAAATGAATTTAAACCATTGCTGGACATGTGTACAATCCGGTTTGGACCATGACATTCGCATAATAGTCGCGACCGTGAGACCTTGACACGACACAAAACTCATAAAATATCTCTCTTCATTGACTTGGCTTCAACGTAACCTTGTCCATGGCATAATATAAGAAAGTTACTTATTTCATTCAGCTTATTGTTACTATCAGTACACTTTTAACGGTTTAAAACGCGAATTAGTTAAACTTATTTCAACTACGACAGAACTTGCTGCTTTGCAACCTTGGTCATGGAGAGACACTCCCAGTGCGTGTTTTATTTAAACATATTTTTCTAAACTACCTTTTGTACAGTATTATACTCTAGTCTATACACTTAGACTCAATCTTAGTGCATAAAAACTATCCAACAAAACTAGTCAGACCGTACCCACCTTGTAAATAACCTTCACTTTCATATAATGCAGATAGAACTTAAAAAATTTCAAATATCGGCCAAGGTATCAAAATCTCGTCTTCGTGCAACTTCAGTAAAATGTTATGTTAATATATATTAATAAGCAATATGCTAATTCTGTGGTGAGGAATGCTTATGAGCCGGATTCTGAGGAAATTTCGACGTCAAACAAAGAAAAACTATAGGCGTAACCAATATATGAAAACACTAGCGCCACCTGTTTGTTCGTAACTGATCTAAATTGATTAACTCATGTGTGCTGTGGTACAGATACAAAAAATGTCTGTATTCATGAATCTTAACACCTAATGAATAAATAGAATAATCCATTCGCTTATAATTATTCTATAATTAAATGTACGAACTACAGCTGTACCTTAGAACTTCCATTTTCCCTTATTTTGAAAGATAGAGGGAGAGAGACAAGCTAGGAGTTCACTTGATGGTAGACAAAATACCCCAACCTCTAGTACCTCCACAAGATACGATGTCGACCTATTTGGCTTTGATCTTCGGGAATCCACAGACTGAAACCGAATCGTGTTAATCCGTTGTATGATTTAAATTCAACTGTGATAGTAGCTAATATATATAAGTTGGACTTAATTCAAACCTATCAAAGTATTTGCCAAATCTCGACGCAAGTAAATATCCAGACTCTTTATCCAGCCATATATGCTACGTGACAAAATGTTGGTCTAGAAGTAAACCTTGTAGGGACTGTAGACTGTCAAAGAGTCTCAAGTACGACCAGTTTCTCTGCGCCCATGTTTATCTGATTAAATGTTTAATCGCTAGCAATTACATCGGACATTTTGTTTCTAAAGCGTGTGAAGCTTCAATCATAAATAATAGTATATAAAACTTCTCTCATTCTTCAAGTGTTACCTGAAGATGATATAATACTTCCATGTTTTACTAAGGGAAAGACAATATATTCCAAGTATTTCAAACCAATTGGCAAAGAAAGGTGCAGTAGTGTGTCTGCCGCATTTTCCACGTACATTATATTAGTTACTAGCTGTGCCAGCGTCTTCACCCGCGTAGAATAGTTACTTTGGGAATCAAAATTTGTTTTTCCAAATTTCCTCAGCTTTGTAAATTATAGCTGTTATACCCACGTCGTTGTCCGCGTCCCATCGTTCTTGCGAGTTAATCTTAAAAGTAAGACATAACTGTCGTGGACATTGTCTATCATTTAAAGAGGAATAATTCTTTCATATATATTTTTTGGTATTTATTCGTTTTCGCAGCGTACGCCACGGAAGCCTTAAAGACCCAGATTTCCAACTGTTTCTTCGCTTCTATTGGTCACAACGTGATGTTTTATGGCCTTAAACCTTTATCGATAAATGCTCAGAGAACACAAAAAGATTTTTCATTAGAACTATGGGATTATCGCGCGCAAACAAACTCTTTAACTTTAAAATATTAGTATACATTAATTGAATACACATAATGATAGCCCGATTACACAACCTATTATATGATAATTCCCAAAGTCCTTTTTATATTCTAATGAGTTCCTGATTCGTAATTCCCTGAACTGTTTGCTTCTAGGACCCAACGCGCGTGGTCTGCCCAGTTATAGACGTGATCAGCATGGATACGTTCCAGTACATCGGTGCGTCAGCGGATCTACGCGGCGGCTTCGATTGGAACTTGGTATTCAAGGTGAGCTTGCGCACGATTGGAATCCGATTGCATTCACTAGCTACGGAATTGTCAGACTTTAGTTTTGGAATTCAATTACACAATATTTTTGAAATATTATATTCAGTATAGTCTGAACATCGGTTACTATCTATTTTTCATAATCCTTAAGTAATCATAGTTATTACGTAAATTAAAAAAAAACATACACTTTGAACTTTCCACCTTCTCTCATAAAAAAATAGTTATTTTGATAATTTAATTATTTTATCATCCCGCTCGATAAATGATCAATTATCACTTTGTAAGGTATCCTCCTACTTAGGGCTGTCAATAAATTATAATAGATATATGTCTGGTGTTTTGTTATTTTATATTATTTCATCGTTTACAGCGTTTCGCGCCTCTATCAATCATGTACCAGAATCCTTATACATTAACAATTTCCTATAGATCTAACTTAAATATCAAAACAACGTTTAAAGGGTCAGCTAGAAAACATTATATTACTTAAAGTTGTAATGTTGTCAAACATGTACCCTTTCAATCTAACTCCGACCTTAACACAAGAAAATGTCTTCTAGGCTCATAAGGCGACAAAAAAAATTCAGTCTTATCGTATGTACCAATTAGTCCTTTGAAAAATCCTACACACTGTGGATAGTGTTCTTCAAATTAATGACATATTTCAGTGGGAGTATTTGTCGCATGCGGAGCGAAGTGGCCGACTAAGCGACCCCACTCAAGTGATCCGGACGCCAATGATAGCTGGGGGCCTCTTCAGCATGGACCGAGCCTACTTCAATAAGCTGGGCAAATACGATATGAGAATGGACGTCTGGGGTGGGGAGAATCTCGAGATCTCATTCAGGTATGTATACCAAGAGGCTTCAAAAGATATTCCTCTAAGTATACTTATGATGGCTGGAACTAGTTTTATTTTGTTAAACGATGTTGGGGAGTTTGTAACTCCAGCCAGAGTTACTATAGAATTATTAATGATCACCAAATATCATTATGATTACTATATAAAAAAATGCTTCAGTATAAAGTATTCGGTTACCTACTCTCTTGCAAGTGAAGATAAAATCTTAATCTTGTAGTTTTGAAATTCTAACGGTCTTTGTCTATCAGCTAGAGTCCGTAGACTAGACTACTCCATCTTATTATAGAATTAAAACTAATTTCCCCAGTTTTATTTTTGAAAACCGATAGATCTGCGCTAATCACTCATAATTTTGTCATTTACAAAGCTTCACTTAACATGTATTGCATATATGCATTAGATTTTTGCGTCCAAAGTTGTTATGTGAGAAATTTCACACAGTATGCAAGTTGCAAAAGACACATACGATATTAAAAAACTAATACTCATATATTTTACATCTTAGTGCTCATGTTGGCATTATATACATTAAAAAACTTGGGGGCTTGAACGCCAGTTCAAAAACTTGCGATGTATTTTGATGTCTGAGACACAATTCTTCTATTAATAATTGACCTACGCCTCTGTACCACATTGAACAAGTTCTGTAAGATCATAGGTTATCTGACCTAGTAAATTCTTGTAACAACCGCATTCTCATTACTTGATAATAGTGATTAATATAATACAATATATTTCCAGGGTCTGGCAATGCGGTGGTTCCCTAGAAATAGTGCCATGTTCACGCGTCGGACACGTATTCAGAAAACGTCATCCATACACCTTCCCGGGTGGTTCTGGAGCCGTATTCGCAAGAAACACTAGAAGAGCTGCTGAAGTATGGATGGATGACTACAAGGAGCTGTACTATCGGTCGCAGCCATTGGCAAAACAAGTGGAATTTGGAGAGTGAGTTTTCTTTGAAACGCTTAGAAATAATACATACATCTGAGAAGTATTTCTTATCGCTATTATATTATGCTACACAATACTCGTATGTTATAGATTACCAAACACGATATTATCAATAAAATGCGACCGTCAAAACGTAGCTGGATTTTAAACTAGCTTTAGCAGTGACTTCGCCCGCGTTGAAGTTATTTTGTGCAACAGAATTGGTTTTCCCAAGCCTCCCCTATCTTAATTATAGCTGTTACAAACGACGTCGTCCGGGTCTTGTAGTTTTTGCCAGTTAATCTTATAAAGATTTTTATAGATCATTTATAGAGGCGTCATTCTATCATACACACTTTTTGGTTTTTGAGCCTTTTCGCAGCGCAACTCTCCCCGTTTCTTCCATAATTTACACTGTAACTTCGCTTCTATTGGTCGTATCGTTAATTTAAAAGCCTAAAGCCATTCTCGATAAATGCTCTAAACAACATGAAAAAAAATAATAATTCAAACCAGTAGTCCCTGCTTGTTCAAGCAAACAAACTTATCAGCTTTTTATATTAGTATAGATAATACGTTTATAGCAATATCCTCGCAATTCAAAAATTGCTTACTTATTTATTTTCTCTATGGTTTCAGCATATCGGAGCGAAAAGCTTTAAGAGAGAAGCTTCACTGCAAGCCTTTCAGGTGGTACTTGGAGCACGTGTACCCAGAACTTCAAGTACCAGCATTTGCTGGAGGATACCGCACAATACGTCAAGGTGATAAATGCCTGGACACCATGGGACATCTTGTTGACGGGACCTTGGGTAAGTAGGAACTGGAAACTTATTTTTTGACTATTTAGATCCCTCATATTATGCTGCTGCAAACATTGCCATCTTCTTCTTGTGTACAAAAGGATAACTAAATATATAAAGTTAGACAGGTGTATGTTAGATGATCTTTTATGGATAAAAAATGGCTAAATTATATATTTGTCTGGCTCGTTGGTGTAGCTGGTATAAACGGATCGTGGGTTCGAACCCCACCAGGTCTAACATGTTTCTAACCAATTTTTCTGAAACATGTCAAATTCATTAGAAAATGGTGATATTAAATGGATGCATATTAATCGAAATTCAATTTAGGCCACGAACCATCACAGATGAAAAAAGTGTGATTTTATATCGCGTTTTGGTTTCCACCTGTGCAACTCCGAACATCCAAAGCTAAATTAGATGGACAGCGCATCTGGTTTAGGTGATATTTGACTAGGGTATTTCATATAACAATCAAATTAATCCCATGCTTGTCTATCGTCCTCTATCATAAAAAATACTTTTTGTCATCAATTAACATTATATTTTCAGGTCTGTACCCGTGTCACAATACCGGTGGCAACCAGGAATGGCTATTGGATAACGGCCTTCTACGGCATCACACGCTTTGTATGTCTCTGTCTAGTGATAGAGTCACTACTGTGTTATCCCCTTGTGACCAGTCTGATGAATTCCAACTATGGAAGGTCAAGGGATCATTGATTAAGCACTTAAAAACAGACACTTGTCTGGACTCAGATAGACCTGCCTTATACTTAGCCAAGTGTGATATAAGTAAGCCCAGTCAGCTCTTTGTTTATTGAAATTTGGTCTGAACTATTTTGTTTTTTTTTTTTAGAGTTCGTGAAAGATATACTAGAGAACTTTGAGTTGATGTTTGTTTGTTATAATTTGACCAAAAGTAGGTAACATGGACTATTGATATTTTAAAAGTATTTGAATAGGTTACTTCAACATAAATGCTAGAGAATATATAGAAATTATATAACCAACAGAACAATAAAACAAGTATCTTACAAAAGATATGTAAAGTAAGGTATACATAAGCCGCATTTGAAATTAGTTTTATAACGCCACATTATCTTATTTTGTCACTATTGCTATAAATATCTTTGAATTATTTGACGGACTCGGTTGGTGTAATGTGTTAATCAACGGGTCGTAGGCTGGATTACATGGATCGACATGTTTCTAATCAATTTATAATGTCACTGAAACATGTTGGGACTTCGTCTAGAAATCTGGATATTAGTTGGGTACCACCCATGAATATGGAAATTTCGTCTGGGTCACCAATCACTGTGGAGTGATTGGTGACCCGGACTAAATGAAACCTTCACTCAGTCGCAGTTAAAAACAGTCCGTGGATTTCCGAATATCCAAAGGCAGAATAGGCCGACAGCGTATCTTATTTAGATTTTAGAGGTAATGGTGTTTCACTATCAAGTGATACCATACCTGTCTGTCCTACTCTAAAAAACAAGTTGCTTTAATTTTATTTCCAAAATTACAAGACTTATGTTAAATGTTAAGATCAAATGTGGTCTATATTAACCTTACTATAGAATAATTATGATGATTTAGCAAAATTTTAGCTGTAGGAATTGTCTCGAATCAATCTAACATTCCGTTAAGATCTAAAGACTCAATAATTTTAATATTGTTAAGTTTACTCATCACAATATGTACATACACATTCACATTGTATTATAATGCATATAAAAGATAAATCATTAAGTTACCAATGTATATAGATAGAATTATCTGCGCCGGGAATGTGGAATGGAAATTTAGATATAGGGTCGAGAACTTGTTGTAGAAAGACAATGGCGGATCCAGGGGGGAGAGAGGTCATGGGGTCGTGACACCTCCTCTGAGCTGGTTCCTAACTGAACATTTTGATTTTATTTACAAAAAAATATGTGTTAAATTCTTTTATTGTACAATTAAGAATGAATATCTGGAAGTACAACACGTTTAGGTAGATTTAAAAAATACCTAATTTTTACTTGACCACGACTGTGTGACCTAGCGACAAAGCTGGATCCGCCATTGGTGTTTGATATATTTTTGTTGTAATCTATTAAATGCCTCGTCGGATAGTTTACTAACAATTTCATTGCAGATCTCGAGGTACATAGTTAGGATCGCAGACCGACTTGAAGGTAGTTCGATATTTAAATATTTCAAGTTTCTGAAGATTAGGATTATCATGTCCTTACCTGAAGGAGCTCAAATAAGCCCTGAATTTCTTAGGAGAGAAAAACTACGTGTATTAGAAAAAATAACGGGCACTGCGATATTCATAGTTTGAAACGAACTTTAATTATATTAGTACCTGTTCCCTCAAAACTAAAAACAGTTGAAATAAAACACTTTTAACGGTTTAAAACTCGAAATACTAATGTAATATAACTGCGGCTTGACGTATCCAGTGATGTGGTCATGGGGGGGGCTAAAGGAAAGTTTAAGTTATATTTCGCGATTTAAACAGTTTAATGTGTACTAACAATGTGAACTCAGCTGGTAAGGTTATTAAAATATGTACATATGTATTTATCATAAAAGTTCAAATTGATTTATCATTCCTCCAGTACAAGTTATAGTCACAAGTATTTAATTGTAATTTGTATTTACGTTTAATTCACCCATAGAGTTAAGGAACCGCAATTTTAATTTTAAGATTCACCTTATACGTAATTTAAGCAAACATTTTTGGAGTCTCAAACACGTTATTTTAGGTTTTGTTAAATTATTATTGTTTAATATTTTTTTAAGTTTATCATTGTTTATGTGTATACTAAGCCGTCCAAGATATTTTGTTTTGAGTATTTATTCGATTTTTCTTTTAGAGTTAAGTTTAACAATTACAGAGATACGACCTTTAAAATTGTAATCTCATAACATTTTTGTAATGTTTTATATGATTACTGTCGCTTTATTTGTAACCGTTTTTAATAAAACACTTTTACGTTTTAAAACGCGATACATATGTTAATAGGCGCGTTTTAAACCGTTAAAATGTTTTATTTAAATATGTACTACCCGCATTAACTATACTGTTTTTGAGGGTAGTAATAATTTAACCCCATTTAACCGTTTCTTTTTTTATTTCATTTAGACACGGTTTAGAGAACAATTCTGTTTTTTGTTAGAATTAATATATTTTTTTGTAAATATATAACTACATACGATACTGTTGAAACTTATGACTAGAAGATGATAAGAATTACTCATAGATAAGGTATATATATATATATATATATATATAATGTTTAATACTATATTGCAGGATTAGTTCTTTAGCTTTTTTCCTTATTTTGTGTGGACTAGACACTGGAATAGAGGTGGCAAATCTATGCAAAGGGTTTTTAACTAACTTTAAATCTGACATACTTCGCGTCTATATATCTTTGTAACCAAATGAAAGATCTGGAAAATTTCGAATTCTTAATGATCCAATTCTATAGTATAAATGAAAGTCTTGTTAACCAACGTTGGATTCTTCGCTTATAACTTGGTAAATGAAGAAAATTGAGATGTCTGTATAGACAGATAGACAAGTTATGGCTACTTAAAATTACTAGTCAGTTTTGTATGTATTTCATATATATATAATTTGTTCAACAAGCGATATGGTGATTTTATTTTAGTGAGAAAATTGTGTTAAACTCCGAAAAATAAATGAATGTTCATTTCAAATTTCGTTCTTTTCTTTAATAGTTATTTTAAATGATATAAAGAAAACTAATATGTTTACAAAATATATCTGTATTTCCATCTCCATATAATATTGTTTATACCCACTTATAATTTATTAATAACAATATATTTTGTCTTGATGTGACGTCATTACAGTACAGTTAAGGTCTCGTTGGTATAGTTGTAAGTATACTGGGCTGTAGTTTAGTGAGTCCAGGATTCGAAGCCTGGGCATTCGATATTTGGAAATTTTCTAGAAAAAGAGAAGTAGTAGGACCCAGTGCACATCATTCTACTAACCTATACTGGAATAACGAGATTGGTCTTTGAAACTCTTTCTCCTCTTTTGGGAGTGAATTCGCGCCCAATAGTGGGACGTACGTGGATTTGAAAGACAATAAAATACGCTAAAACTATTAAACTTAATATCACACTGGTAAACTTTGTTTCCTAACGAAATATATATAAACTAACGAAAACTATCGCTTAAGCCTAAAATAACTTAATTTTTATCATAACAAATAGCATTTTTTTGCGTGTAAAATAGTAGACAAATACTTAAAAAACAACAATTAGTAATTGTAATTTTTCACTGTTTATAATTACTTAGTAACTGTCTGTAGTTTACGCGAGTAGTACACATTATATAAAACACTTTAACGGTATAAAACGCGATATATATTAGTTATCAAAAGTTCTATATAGATATATAGAACTTTTTTTGAAAAAAAAATAACTACTAAGACTAAAAAGTCCCTCCGTGACCACGGCTGCTGCATAGCATCCAAAACGTCGGGCCGTAGTTAAAATATTTTCAAATAAGTTTACTTAATTAATATCGCGTTTTAAACCGTTAAAGTGTTTAATTTATATACTCACTAACATATTATATGACATACAAAATATATGGCTTTTGTTTGATTCATTAATTTGATTGTATATGTTTGTGTCAATGCACGTTAGAAAACCCTTTTGAAAATAATCTGTGCAGACGAGACAAGGCATATGTCAGTCAGATGATTTCATAATTTCACAAAAGACTTATCATAAACGGGACATTATTAAATACGTCTCAAAACACTTGAGTCAAATTCTAATGAGAATTGTTCATTTTGTTCTTAATAAAGCGACCCAAAACTTTGATCGCTCTGAACGCATAGTTGGGCGATAGCCTCTGTCGTAAAAGGTAGTATGCCACTAGGTTCATCGCTAGTAACATTCCGAAGAGGACGCTAATATCCAGCCAGAATGAGACACCAGACATTCCCATCAGTTTCGTAAAGTATCTGAAAGGAAAACACAAAAAAAAATATTACAAAAATATTAGACCGCCATTAAAACGTGTAATTAAAAAGTTAGTCGAACAAGTATATATTAAATTTAAACATTATTGGATATCTATCTAATGGATAATTTTATCTCAAAAAGCAGCAATTTAACGTCGGGCCTTAGTTTGATTGAATGGAAAATAAGTTAAATTTTTGTGTTATAAACTGTTAGAAGTGTCTTATTTACATAATTTAAATTATACTTTATAAGGAAACATTAATTTATCGTATAGCCGCAGTTAAAATAAATTAATAAATGCAATGAAGTCAAATGATACATTTCACGTTTTGAACCGTCAGTAAGTTTAAGTTGTAAGACCAATTAAATTTTTCTCAATATCATCGTCATGTAATCAAAAAATCATATAAAAAATTACATGAATAATAATACTTACTTAACATTCTTGAATTCGCAATAATCAACGTCATCTGGACAGATGAGATCGGCTCGAGACTGTCCGTATATAGCCACAATGAGTCCCTCCAGGCCATACCTCAAAAAGGAACAAGCCCTGGCTATCTTCCAGACCAAGGGTGGTGGGTCATCGCCATTACCAATACCATATACGGATAGTAACATTAGGGGAACACTCGCTACGGGACCGACAAACATTGAATTCTGGAAGGAAAAGATTAAAATTATAATCAGTTTTAAAAACAATTAGAGTACACGTAGAAAAATGAGAATGTCCATTCTAGGCCACAAGTGGGCAAAAGAGAAAAAACTAGATAAAATACTTTAAATACTGTCCATAGTTTACGCGTGTAGTACACATTTGCATAAAACACTTTAACCTGTTTAAAACGCGATATATTAGTTAAATTAAATAAAAAATAAGTTTAACTTATTTAGTTAAACTTATTTAATTAAATAAGTTTAACTAATATATCGTGTTTTAAACCGTTAAAGTGTTTTATTCAAGAATACTTTACTCAAACATTTTTTTTGTAATAAATATTGCCTGGCACAATAATAAGAGCAAAAGAATAAGTAATTGTAATGTCTTTGAAGACTGGAAAATAAATGGGACCTCGGTATTTAAATTGTAGCAACACCAAGTCGATCTTGCTTACAAAATATTATACATTACATAATAATTCAGTACATAAATCTCTCCTAGCGAGAAAGCCAATTATCTATCTGTACTAATATATAAAGCTGAAGAGTTTGTTTGTTTATTTGGACGCGCTAATCTCAGGAAATTAGAGTCCAAATAAAAAATATGTGAAAAAAAATTGTGTTGGTTAGAGCATTTATCGAGGTAGGCTGTAAAACATCGCGCTATGTCTAATAGGAGCGAAGATTCAGCGGAAAATGGGAAAATTATTCGTCATTATGAGTTACCGAGGCGTACGCTGGAAAAACGGTTCAAGGTACCAAAATATATCTATGAAAGGATTATTCCTCTTTAAATAATCTAAAAAAGTTCCGCGACGCTATATGTCTATCTTTTAAAATTAACTTGTAAGAACGTCAGGAAAGGACGCGACCGACGTCGAGGGTAACAGCTTAGGTTTATAAAGGGGGGTTTGCAAAAACGAATTCGGATGCCCAAAATAAAGATTCTTAGCAGACAAAGTCGGTGGCACAGTCAGCACATAATAAAATAGAAGCACAGCAAGTAGAAAGCTTCATTCACCAAATGTCAATAAGAAAAAATGACACAATAACTAATTTTAATGCCTAAGTTACAATCATACAAGGGTAAGATTGTCTACTATTTATGTAGACTGATTTAAGTCGTTCAGAATCAATTCTCTAATGGCGGTTAATTTAATTATAAGAATAATGATAAAACCGAGTATTTAAATAAAACACTTTAACGGTTTAAAACGCGAAATATTAGTTATAATATAACTAACTAATATATCGCGTTTTAAACCATTAAAGTGTTTTATCTAACTGTGTACTACTCGTGTAAACTATAGACAAAACCGAGTACCTAAGCCAAAACAGGTCGACAAGCATCTTAGGTTGATAAAAACGTACTTTGATGGGTCTTATTGTAGTAATGGGAGCAATGTACGGCGAATAATAATCAAGGGGGTCGTGGATTCGATCCGGGTCCAAAAATTTTTATTTTCCTTAAACATGTTGGACTCCGACTGGAAATCTAGATATTAAATTGGTGGTATGGAATATCGAAAATTCGAAAGCCACCGTCCACAGATGAAAGGGCCGTCAAGCTTATTCGCGTTTCGGTTTCAGTGTTATCCTAATATGCAAAAGCAAATGGGCGACAGCGCATCGTGTTTAGATGCTATATGGGTATTTGACCCACCATGACGTGATCCCCTTGCTAGTCTGGCCTTTGTCATAAAGATATACTTACTACAATATTTAGTGTCGAAGATATAACAGTTCCCATAGACTCCGCTACTAAAGCCACCATGACACAAGTACTAACAAACATGAGTATGCGCGACAACTCCATCGGTTGCGCAGTAGCAGGATATACGATACTCAAATAGATCAATGCGAAGAAAATCGTCGCAGGCGTTCTCGAAACGAATAGTGCAGCAAAATATGGTTTCAAACCGTACCATCTGTTGAAGTATTCGCGTTTTATTATCATTACTTCTGATGGAACTGAAAGATAAAAAATAAAATATATTAAACAAGAAAACCAATGATAAGAAAGAATTGGGTTATTAGTCTGTCTCTATGTAAACTTTTGAACAACTTAAGTATAGTCTTTAGTTCACTGAGTACACATGTATATAAAACATTTTTAACGGTTTAATACGAGGAAAATATAAACTATATTTATTGTTCCAGCAAAGCAACAGAAACGTTCCAAAACGTCGATCCGTGATTAAAATAAATTGTAGTAAGTTTAATTAATATATTGCACGTTTTAAGCCACTAAAAGTGTTTTATTTCAACATTTAAGCACGTGCAACATAAGTTAAACTTATTTACAGTTTATTTTTAATAAAGGCTAACGTTTCGTACGCTTTGCAGCAACATTAAATTGTCAATCGATTCAGCCGTTCAGCGTCCACTGCTGGAAAAAGGCCCCCCCAAAAACCTCCACTACGACCCGGCGTTCGCCCGTTTAAAACCGCGCTTCCCCCCCCCCCCCCCCAGGGGGCCGGCCCCCCCGGGGGGGGGGCGCCCCGGGGTTCCCCCGCCGGGGGGGGGGCCCCCCCCCCCCAACCCTTCCCCCCCCCCCCCCCCCTTTTTTCCCGGGGGGGGGCCCCCCCCCCCCCCCCCCCCCCTCCCCCTTTCTGGGGGGGGGGGTTGGTTTTTTTTTTTTTTCCCCCCCCCCCCCCCCCCCCCCCCCCCCCGCGGGGGGGGACCCCCCCCCCCCCCCCCCCCCCCCCCCCCCGGGGGGGGGGGGGGGGGGCCCCCCCCCCCGGGGGGGGGGGGGATTTTTTTTGGCCCCCCCCCCCCCCCAACAAAAAACCCCCCCAAAAATTTTTTTTTTTTTCGGGGGGGGGGGGGGGGGGAAAAAAAAATTTTTTTTTCCCCCCCCCCCCCCCCCCCCCGGGGGGGGGGGCCAATTTCCCCCTTCCCTTTTTTTTTTTTTTTTTATTTTTTTTTTTCCCCCCCCGGGGGGTTTTTTTCCCCCCCCCCCCCCCCTTTCTTTTCTACAAAAAAAGGGGAAAAAAAGGGGGGGGGGCGCCCCTTTTTTTTTTTTTTTTTTTTTCCCCCCCCCCCCCCCCCCCCCCCCCCCTTTTTTTTTTTTTTTTTTTTTTTTTTTTTTTTTCCCCCCCCCCCCCCCCCCCCCCCCCCCCCCCCCCCACCCAAAAAAAAAGGGGGGGGGGGCCTTTCCTTTTTTTTCCTTCCCCCCCCCCCCCCCCCCTTCCTCCTTTTATTTTTTTTCCCCACAAAAAAATTTTTTTTTTAAAAAAACCCCCCCCCCCCCCCCCCCCCCCCCCCCCCCCCGCGCCCCCCCCCCCCCCCCCCCCCTTTTCCCCCTTTCTCTTTTTTTTTTTCCCCCCCCCCCCCCCCCCCCCCCCCCCCCCCCCACACCCCCCCCCCCCCCCCTTTTAAAAACACCCCCCCCCCCCCCCCCCCCCCCCCCCCCCCCCCCCCCCCCCCCCCCCCCACCAAAAAAAATTTTTTTTTTTTCCTTTTTTTTTTTTTTCCCCCCCCCCCCCCCCCTTTTTTTTTTTTTTTTTTTTTTTTTTTTTTTTCCCCTTTTTTTTTTGTGGTTTTTTTTTTTCTCCCCCCCCCCCCCCTCTCCTTTTCTCCCCCCCCCCCCCCCCCCCTTCTCTCCCCCCGGGGGGGGGGGGGGGGGTTTTTTTTTTTTTTTTTTTTTTTCTTTTTTTTTTTTCCCCCCCCCCCCCCCCCCCCCCCCCCCCCCCCCCCCCCCCCCCCCCCCCCCCGCGGGGGGGGGCCCCCCCCCCCCCCCCCCCCCCTCCATAAATTGTCAATAACTTCAATATATTGCACGTTTTAAACCGTTAAAAGAGATTTAATTCATTTTTAGATAGAATGTAACTTACATGCAAGTAAAATAGGCATCATAGGAGTGTACAGCATAGCAATTATGCACGCGAAGCAGAAACCAAAATTATATAAAGTTTTCGATCCATCAAAACCCATGTTATTGAATAACGACCCTATGATCGTCGCAATGAATACGTGGAGAGCGAACCTTAGCCATAAATAACTCTGAAACAGAAAAAAACATCACATCACTTAAATATATTAGTTAAAAATTGTTGTGTTGTGTACGTCAGTGGGACAAATAAAAAGGTTTAAAACACGAAATTTATTAGTTAGTTAACTATGACCCGACGTTTTAGATGCTTTACATCAGAGATGCACAGACTAGGGGCGACTCGGGCAAATCGTGAGGTGATGGCGGGCCGCCCAAATATAGTTAGTTAAAGACAATAAAGAAATAATAATCTATTAAAATTGAAAAAGAATTTATTATTTTGAGTATTTTTTGCTGTCGGCGGGCCGCGGTCTGTGCACCAGTGCAGTGACGTAGTAGACTTGACTTTGAATAAATGATTATCTTTTTCGTGCTTCTGGTCTTACCAATTGAGCTACCGTGTCAATACAGTGGGTTTTGACAAGGTAGCTCAATTGGTTTGTAATTTTATTTAGAGCAGCATGGAACGCTGTGAATGCCGGCTCAAGAATCGTCCGTATATATTTTTTAGCTAAATAGATTTTATTTTAAAAAATGTCATCATGCGCGTTTTCATAAGTAATTAAGATGTGAAATCATAGTAGCAATGTTAAGTTTCCTTACCCTATTTCTAACAGTCTGTAGAAACATACGTCTAACCAAAACTTTAAATTGTTGGTACCCCGAACTCTCGTAGTGATAATTGTGTTTCTCAATTACACCACTGTTTAACTGTTCGATCTCCTCGCCCTGAGAACAATTCTCAACTGCATAGTATCTCCACTTTTGACATCTGCCGTTCTCTATACTCGATATCATTTTGTCGGAGTGCGAACCATATTCTCCGCTGGATACGTCGATAACTGCAAAAATACAAGCATATGAGATTAAACCTGAATTATTTGGCGTTAAGGTTGAAAATACATTGCGCGAGAGATGCATGTATGGCTCAAAACAATTCCACGATGACATGAGACACGGTAGCTTAATTGGTTACAGCTCGGATCATTGTGGATGCCGGTTTAAGGCTGCTGTCATAAAATTAACACAGTTTGTAAACACAAATAGATTCAAAGGTTTTATAATACCCCCCTTTATTGTTATGATTGTTACACTGTGCATAGAATTATTAATAAGTACAAAACATTGGTGTAGATTTGCAAACAGAAAAAAAAACAGTACGCGGATAAAAAAAAGAATATATAGAAAAGAAAGCGTACTAAAATAATATTTCAAAAAAATATCTTACTGAAATCAGCTGGATTGTAAGTAGTGGGACAAGGCAAGCCTAATTCTTGTAAAAACGGTACCACACCAGCCGACGTCCCTTGGTACGCACATCGACCATCAGCCACCACATAAACATGGTCGAAGATGGAGAATAACCTGGCTGATGGCGTATGTATGGAACAAATCACTGTTCGCCCGCCGCGAGCTATTCGCTTCAAGAGCGAAACGCAAGTTGATGACGCTACATCGTCTAAGCCACTGAAACGAATAATCATTGAGGTAATTAGAGAACAATATTGTCTGTTCAATGTAACATATATAACGGTTTGAAACGCGAAATATATTTGTGAACTTGTTTTAACAATGACACGACGTTTCGACGACGTCAGTGGTCGCGGGAGATCATGTTGTTTAATTAAAGTAATATAATATAAATAATAGATGATGTTTGAAAATCAAGAATGTCAAAGAAATGTTGTACAAACAGTGCGTTATATTTAAATTTTACATAACTGGGGTCTTTCATTTTCCATCGAGTGGCAAATATCCCCATCAGACCCACATATCCCGCAAATTTAGTAATTTAATTGTGATGTTTTGAAAGACTCAAACCGGAATACATAAAGAGAATTTAATGAGACAATTATATAGAGAAGTTTTGTAACATTTTGCCAGGTTTTGAATCCTGAATTTCCTATTAGCTACTATCAAACTTACGTAGTGGGTTCGTCCAGGAAAATGACGGGTGGGTTGTTAACTAACTCCAAAGCGATCGACAATCTCTTCCTTTCTCCGCCTGACAGCCTCTCTGTTACTGTGTTCTTGGCTTTGTTCAACCTGAGTAGGTTAATTATTTCATCTATCTGAAACAAACTGCACTTTTACTGCAACCGTATAAGAGTTTAATACTAAAATATTTTATATACTCCGTAGCTTCCGCGAGTAATACATGAAGGTATAATAACTTTGTTTGCGAGCGCTAATCTCAGGGAGTACTCATTCGAAATGAAAAATTCTTAGATAGATTATCTACATATATAAGCTTTAGGCTATTTACATCACCCTGCGACCAACAAAGACGCAGTGAAAAATGGGGAAAAACTACGGCTGCCGTTTCGGATGCAGTAGTCGTGGTCACGGGGGGCAAAGCAAAATGTCGAGCCGTAGTTATAATAAATTAATATTAACTGATATATTTCGTGTTTTGAATCGTTAATCGTTTTTTATTAAAATATTGATATTCTGTTCAGATAAAGTTAAAGATTTTTTTTTATTTTATACAATTTGTTATGATAATTTTATTTCTCTTAAATTAAATTATTGGGACGTAACCCAACTTATATAGATATTTAAAACTCTTCTTTTTGGTAAGTAACTTTATCAGGTTACGGTTAATTATTTTATTTGTAGCGTGTTTTATTAAATACATAAATATCTTAGGTTTGCCACTTTGACATTTTCCGAGCAATTAAAATAACTGTCTTGACTTTTAACTCTAGGAAAATCTATAGTTAAACACTTTTATATAACATTTGTAACGATGTGTTAAATATGTTAATAACACTTAACACAATATAGAATGCATATTATATACCTAACACTTATGTCGTGATTAAATGCTTAAACGAATTACCTATTTAAATAAAACACGATTTAACGATTTGAAACGCGATATATATTAAACTTATTTTAAAATTATTTTAAAATTATTTTTTTACTACGGCTCGATATTTCGGATGCTTTGCAGCAGCCGTAGTCAAGGGGAGGGTGAAGATGGAGAGTGTATCTGACGTCAAAGTAAAAACGCTACGCAAGCGCCATCAGTTCCGGCGAAGGTGATATTTGGCGAAACTGGCAGGGTCCTTGCAGAATTGACTAATGGTATCTTTACGTTTGCTGGTTTGCTGTTTTTTTGGAATACAGAGTTTTTACATGGGATCTCAGTATAAAACGTGAAGTGTTTTATTTAAAATGTGTACTACTCGCGTAAACTACAGACAGTATTGGACCCCAACCCCCCCAACCAAAAAAAAAAAAAAAAATCGATTATTATTAATGTATAAATCCATAGGTTGAAAAAATTCAACAATGACGTATTGAACACGGTAGCTTCATTGGTTAAAGGAACAGCACCTAACGTTGTTGATTCCGGTTCAAGTCCTGATCGTATCCTTTTTTTTAATGTAAAATTGCTTCTTAATTTATGTTTATACGTTTGCATTGTTGTATAATATACTGACCACAACAGTCTTCTTGGCTTTGTCCAAATTTTCACCAAGTTTTAAGTCCGCAGCCATCATCATCGCCTCTTGCACGGTGATGAGAGGTTGGAGAAGGTCATCTTGCATAATGTACCTAGACAGCTTTCGAAACAACGACAGATCTCTAGCTTCACCATTTGTGCTGATAATACCTGACGCTCCTAATACCCTGGAACAAGTAAAAAATTCACGTAGGTACACTTATGAAAGTCACAATAAAAGACTAGAGTCTAAAACATCTACTACCAGTCGTACTCAAATCAGCGATGTAGAACGTACGAGAAGAACTGGCAAGAAACTCGCCATCACTCCTTTTACCGCCAACTTTCATTTTACAATCTTTGTGTTGTAGCTGTTGCTATGCAGTTAATAAATACTCTTTGAAGGAAATTTATGATAATTATAAATTTAATATAGATTTATCTGAGAATCAGCATTTTGAAAACATAAGAAATAAACGTGTTAAAGTCAAAGATGGCTTTTGTTGAATCTCTCATGTAGATAGATAGATTCCTCCATTGGTCGTGGAGTCGATTCCTCCAGTTCAATGTTTTGAAATAATTTTTTGAAAATTAATATTTTTTTCAATGTTATTGCACATGAAGGCACTATATATTTAAAAATCCAAAATACTTCGAAAAAATTATAAAATAAATGTTTTGAAGTAATTTATTTTATAATTTTCTTATCCGTAGACGAAGCGCGTCGGTTCAACGAAATATATTCCTTGTTTGTTATATATTTTCAACAGTTAAGGGTTTAAAACGCGACACATATAAATTAATCTGTTATATTCCCGTTCCCCTTTTCCAGCTTCCGTGGTCGTGGTGGACAAGTTAACTAATATATTTCGCGTTTTAAACCGTAAAAAGTTATTTATTTAAATTTGTACTAAGTACTCGCGTATGCCACAGACAATTCGATCATTATAATTGTCAATTGTTAGTGAGAGAGGTCGTGAATTCGAGCTCCGCTTGCATTTCTCTTTCGTTTAAAATAGTATTAAATTTATTCTGCTATGTATTAATATGGAGACTAAAATTGCCGGCCATTATACAAATTGTCTACCAACGCTTCGACGCAATGTTTGCAACGTGCTATGTGCATTGTAAAATACATAATAACTCGCTAATCATAAAGTGTTTCTTTATTTCACACAGTTGTGTATGAATATAATACCATTCATTATGTAATTTATAACGTCAAAGGTTGAAGACTAGATCTACGACAAAAAACCTATAATTAAGCGATACAAAATTTATGGAATTTATATTTTAAGATAAAATTCCGTCACCGAGGGAACTTCCTTAAATAATTGTTGTGTGTCCGGCAAAAAATGAGCTTTGACTTTTCGAAAAATAAAAGATATATTTTTATAAATCTCTATAATCTGCAGTTTTCGCAGTACATATAAAAAAATTACAGTTTAAAACGCAAAATATATGAATAAATAATTATATCACTTTTTTGAGACATTTGAGACTTCGTTTGGAAGTCTAGATATTGAATGGGTGGTAGGAATATCAAAATAGTAGTCACGAACCGCACATGAAAAAAACCGGGTAGTTAAGGCGAAATTTCGTCCGGCTCACGAACCAACGTTCTCAGATGAAATAGCCGTCTAATTTAATCGCGTTTCGGCTTCAGTCCGTAGATTTCCTAACATCCAAAGCCAAAATAGGTCGATATAACATTTTGTATCGATGTTATATGGCTGGAGTGTTTCACCTACCGTCAAGTAAACTTTATGCTTGTCTATTCTCTATCATAAAAAACAAATATATTACGCTTTCTAAACCGTTCAAAGTGTTTTATATAAATATAAATCCTTATTTAACCAGATAATACTTGCCCAATATTAATCAAGAAATACAATTATAAATAATTTATGCTCTCGGAATTATCTTCACTTAAGCAGAACGATCTCGACCAATATTAATCAATGCTATCGGAATTGCTGTGTATACCTGTAACCAGCGAGTATATTCAGCAATGTACTCTTCCCAGCTCCGGACGGGCCCAAAATAGCAGTCAATTGTCCAGACCGGAAATCTCCATTGATGCCACGTAGAATCATTTTAGATACTGAAACAAACAAATATAATATAAAGGTCTTGTTGGTGTAATGGTAGCAATGTATGGCTAATAATCAACAGGTCGTAACTTCGATGCCCACCAGATCCAACATATTTCTAATCAACTTTTAATTTTGCTGAAACATGTTGGACTTCGTCGGCAAATCTGGGTATTAAAAGGGAGGTAGGAATATCGAAAAACACTCGAATTAGTTTCGTTCCTTATTGGATATTCGGAAATTTCCGTCTGCAAATTTCCGAATATCCAAAGCCATAATAGGTAGACAGCTCGTCCTATTTAGATGTTATATATGACATCTACCATCATGTGAACATCTATCATAAAGAAAAACAATTGATCTGCCGTGTGCTACACGTCATCGACGTTTATTTAAGCACTTTTTTAATGTAAATATATTTAATTCTGGTAATTAAAATAATATTACATTGTTATGTGTGACAATCGCCATACTACTATACTAGTAGTATAGCGTGGTAGTGTAGTAGTAGTAACTATGTATACTAGCTTTTAGCCTTAATAAGAATTTATAAAGATGAAACGTAGGTTTGAAAAAAAATTTGGATACCCAAAATAATTTACTATTCTACGCGGACGAAGTCGCTGACACAGCTAGTGATGTATATGGTGTATTAACCAATAGACAAGTTAAAGGTCAACTTTGCAATATAATACAATGCACGATTCCAATATTGTTATACAAAGCAAAATTATTAATAACAAAGCAATGTTATGTATTCGATTAGGTTATGGTATGTTGAGCTTTAATCAAGTTCTAGACTGGATTCCAAACATGTATTGATTTCTTCACATCATAGAGCAATAAGGAACAAAGAATACTGTACCTTGTTAAATATATTTTCCCCTACGTTGATCACGTTAGACACACTATTGTGCCTGTGTTACTAATATTAATTTGCAGTATCAGACATCTAAAACCGACTGAAAGAAATTTTTTTATCGGGATTTGAACAGGATGGGGACTTTCGCTTGTAATTAAAAAACCATAAGAGCTGTCTATAGATAGACCTTTTTAATATAAATTTTCTAGTTTAAACAATTTATAACAAAGGGCAAGACTCGAACTCACGACGTGCTGTTGCTCTACCGTAGTTGTGAAAGTAATATATAATTATAACGTAACTATAACAAGCAAAAAAATGTTACACTTCTGTTTATTGTAAGGTTTAAACATTCATAATGTTAATGATATAACACATATAAAACTCATTAAACGGTTTAAAACGCGAAAGTGTTCGTTAACTCAATTACACGTTATTTTGACTACGACCCGACGTTTCCAAAGCTTTGCAGCAGCCGTGGTCGCGGGGGACTTAGTTTAATAAATAGTCCATAAGGTAATTAATAAATTTCACGTTTTAACCGTCAAAATGGTTTTATTTAAGTTTTTACTACTCGCGTAAACTGCAGACAATACTTAGTATAACTATCACTTTGTTTGAAGTTCCTTGAAAAATATATTTTAAACATTTTATCTTGAAATAAAACACTTTAACGGTTTAAAACGCGATATATTAGTTAAACTTATTGAAAATGATTTTTAACTTCGGCCCGACGTTTCGGATGCTTTGCAGCAGCCGTGGTCACGGGGAGACTTTATTTAAATGTGTACTTCTCGCGTAAACTATAGACAGTATTTTATTTTTATAAGTATATTTGGGTAACCTCTATGTCACTTGTAGGGTAAAAAATACCTATTGTTCCATTGAAACTTGTATATAGATACAAAATCTCTAAGGAAACCATCATACTAATATTGTAAAGCTTTCTTGTTTGTTTGAACGTGCACATCTCGGGAAATGATGGCTGGCTATTGAAAAATTATTTTTGTGTAGGCTAGAACATTTATTGAACATCACGCTGCGACTAATAGGAGCGAAGAAACACGAATGAAATAATGATTTCTCTTTTAACGATATAAAAAAATGTTTGCGAATCTATCGTTTAAGATTAACTTCCAAAAACGCGTCGCGACGACGTCGCGGGTGACAGCTAGTTACGTGTAATGAAATTCATAAATGCGTTGGCATTAGCATGACAATAGATGCACTAAGGGCAGCAAAAGGTTGACAATAATTCTTCCACGAATTATAAATGGACTCGTTACAGAGTTCACATTTACACGTGAGTAACTAACAATAACGTAACTAGATTAAGAATCTAAAACAAATTGAAAAAAAGTTTTTCGACTTGGGCAGGACTTGACCCGGCATCGTTTGCGTTCCGTGCTGTAGCTCTAACCGATTGAGCTATCGAGTCCTACACCTCGTAGTCAAATTTTTTCACCTTATTGATACATGCACCTCTGGCGCAGTCTCTATATAGAGCTATCATGGGTCCATGTAAACATAATTAAGGTTTTCGATAACGTAAATACTGCCTCTAATTAAATAAAACATTTTAACAGTTTAAAACGCGATATATTTCTCTTAAAATGTTTGAAAATTATTTTTAACTGCGGCCCCACGTTTTGGATGCTTTGCAGCAGCCGTGGTCGTGTGTGGAGATACGCATGTTTAAGTAAAATATATCGCGTTTGAAACTGTTAAAGTGTTTTATATAAATGTGTACTACTTACTCGAGTAAATTACAGACCGTACTGCCTCTAGAATTCGCGACTGGTACACATTTAAATAAAACACTTTAACGGTTTTAAACGCAATATATATTGGTCTCCCCGTGACTTCGGCTTAGTCAAAATAATTTCCAAATAAGTTTTATATATATCGCGTTTTAAACTGTCAAAGTATTTCATTAAAATAAAAACGTAAATACGACCTTACCAATATTTTTATGATAGAGGAAAACAGACAATCATACAGATTGATTAGAGATGAAATATCCCATTTATATAATATCTAAACAAAATGCGCTGTCGTCCTATTTTAGCTTTGGATGTTGAAAACCGGTCAAGTGCGAGTCGAAGTTACTTTTAAATATGATATTAATTTTGTATCCATTGTTATAGGGGCATAAGAAAATTTGTGAATAACACAGTAGCTCAAGTGGTTAGAGCAGCAACACGGTTGCTCTAACCAACCGGTGGATGCCGGTTCAAGTCCCGCTCATGATGTAATTTTCAGATTTTCAGTCTGTAATAAATTCCTTTTTACAATTGTAAATCCATTGAGTGTCAAAGAGGCAGACTTCGAAGACTGGGTCGAGTCTTATGTGGGTTCCAAAGCAAGGCCGATTTGAATACTGTGATACTTATAATTGATGGGCATTTATAAATAGCTATTTATTTAATTTATTCAATAACACACTTGTCGGTTTTAAACGGGAAATATAATAGTTGATTGATTTTTAAAACGTTGGGTCGTAGTTATAATGAACTAAAAATATATATATATGTCGCGTTTCAAACCGTTTAATGTGTTTCATTTAAATGTAAGCGTAAACTACATACTATTATAGAGTTTTCTTATTTTATACTTAGTTAATATTATAGTTTATCGATATTTTTACAAACGGATATGGAAAATGTTAATATAGAGTTCCAGAAAATGTTGTTTCTACATATATAGATGGACGTTTCCACAGCCTTTGTTAAATTATTCCACTTAGAACCTTGACAGACACATTTCTGCGCCTGTCTTGATCTTGAAATAGTCGCGCAAATACCAGTCTATAGGGTATACAATGAGAATCTTTACTAATATATAAAGCTGTCAGCTTTAAGCTGAAGAATTTGTCTATTTGTTTGAACACGCTAATCTCAAAACTACTGGTTCTAATTGAAAAATGTTTTTCTGTTTTGGCATTTCGGGGGAGGGCTATAGGGTAGAAAACATCACGCTTTGACTAAGAGGGGCGAAGAAACAGCAGGCAATGTGGAGAAAACGGAGAAACTCATATTTGTACGTTTACGATGCGTACGCTGCGAAAACGACGAATGTTTCATCTTTAAATGGTTAAAAAAAATGTCAGCGTCACTATATATCTATCTTTTAAGCTTAGCTTGCAAGAACGACGGGACGCGACCGAAGTGGTGGTAACACCTTCTTTTATTTATAAAGGATGTCTGCTGAAACAAATTTGGATGCCCAAACTAACTATTCTACGCGGGCGAAGTCGCTGACACAGTTAGTATTGTATACGACAAGCATAAAGTATAAATATAGGCATATCCTAACATATAAGTCACATTATAAAGTGGCAACAACTTTGTAATAAATGAATAATGTCATGGGAGACTTGTAAATCTCAACTGTCTGCAGCTTAGGCTCTGGTCTCCTAAAAATTCAACTGTATAGTATCGCTAAACGCCGCGCGGACTATATTTTTTATAATAGAGGAGAACAGACAAGCACGCGTTTCACTTGATAGAAGAATATAGTATCTACACACGATGCGCTGTTGAACTACTTTGACTTTGGATATTTGGAAATGGACAGACTGAAACCGAAAGGCGATTAAACAGCGGCTTTTCCATTTGTCGATGATGGTTTTCGAATTTTCAATAGTCCCTACCACCGATATAATATATAGATTTCCAGGCGGAGTCTAACATATTTCATAAATAAATTAAATTAATTTGAAACATCTTAGACCCGGTGTAGATCGAAGCCATTACCCGTTGTTTATTATGCTACCACTAGACCAACGAGTCCGTTATACTAAATGTCATTCAAAATGGTAAATATAAAAGATGATATCACAAACAACAAAATACGGTATCTAAATACTGTCTATATATACTACTTTAACGGTTTAAAACGGGGAGACTCCCCCGTCTACCCGTGACCACGGCTGCTGCAAAGCATCCGAAACGTCGGGCCGAAGTTAAAAATCATTTTCAAATAAGTTTATCTAATATATATCGCGTTTTAAACCGTTAAAGTGTTTTATTTAAATACGGTATCTACCTACGATGCGCTTAAAATCTTTGTTATTTCGAAAATAGACAGACTGAAACCCATGCACTCTCCATACACCCGGCGGTAGATATCCTTATCAGACAAAGTCCA